TACTCTCTTGTAACACCTCTAATCTTCTGGCGCTCATATGACCCTATGCAGTTGCGAGGGCCGTAAAACCTCTACTAAGACTAAAACTAAATCTTTCCAAGCGATTGGTTTGAGGGTGGAACTGGTAGGTCCAACTTTGTTTCTTTCCCCACTGTTACTGTTGTCCATCTGTTTTCCTTTTTTGTGGCTCCGAAGCCGTTATTTTGTTGGTGTGCTTCTCCTTACTCCAACTTCGCTTATCTCTTGATCCCAGTGTCGCTGTAGATGGTTGGAGGGTGTCACTGGTTAAGATTCGGCTGGTTTTCTTTTCCTCTTTTCCTTTTTTTGTATCTGTGTTACTTCCTGTCTAACATCTAGGCCTACGCCCTTATCTCTCCTTCTTTTCTTTGTATGTTACTCGAGTAACGCGTCTTATCTTTGGCACTTATAATTATGATGACCTATTTGTATTGCAAGTACTGTAAAACTCAGACTAAAACTAAGTGGGAGGTTGGTGGGTACTCTGGTGGGATTTGCTCCTTCTTTACTATCAAATATCTCTCTTCCTTATCTCTCCTGTTTTTATTTTTTTTAAATTTGTTACTCTTTTAGATGGTGCGGTGGTGGAGCGATTAGTGTGCTCGTCTCCGAAGCGGAAAGTCCGGGTTGGAGCCTCAGTTCGGACACTGATTTTTTTCGCCCTCTTCCTGCCCACCCAGCAGTAATGGGTACCTGACTTTGAGTTGGGGAAGTAAAGGCGGCGTGGAAAGGAACTGGCCACCCTACCACAATATTATGCCGAAGGCCCAGGAAGTTGTCTCGCTAACAATTAAGGCAATCCCCAATGTCCGGATCGGATGCGGGAACAACTTAGTCTTGGGCACTTTTTGACCCAATTTTATTGCAAGTGCTGTAAAACAAAGATTAAAACAAAACTAAAATGCAGAAAACGTCAGTTCTATTCCCATGTTGCGAGGGGGTTTTTTTGTTCGAGTATTCCCTGTTTGCTGGGAAGTTATCCCTCTCAGCCCATGTTAGCCCTCACTGGCGTGGGTGGTTGGCGGGTGCTCTTGTGTGGTTTGCTTCTTCTTTCCTATCAAACATCTGTCGTCCTTATCTCCCCTTCTTTTTTATGTTTATTACTCTCTTGTAACACCTCTAATCTTCTGGCACTCGTATGACCTTATGCAATTGCGAGCGCCGTAAAACCTCTATTAAAACTAAACTAGCCCTCACTGGTAGGGGGAAGCAGTCCACCGCCTAAATGACGTAAATAATGTCAATGGGTGCATAACATGACTATGATTACAATTGAAGGGCACAGGGGAAAAACGACATTAGTCACAAACTGGAAATTGTGAGGGTGCCAATTTTAAAATATTGTGGACTCATAACTTCATATTTGTTTGACTGAAGGTGTATTGTTAAGTGTTGTTGAATGGGAAATCACAACTGAAAGAGCTGCGGAGCTGGCCTATCATAGAAAACTGCATCTCCCCTCGACGCTTAACAGCAACAGAGGATGAAAAAGTAAAAGTAAAGTAAGTAAGTAAAGAATGGGAAATCTAGTGACAATAATCAACCAACAGTTGAACAGAAAAACAGTTATGAGTCAACAAGTTTTCCAAATTGGTACAACAGAAAAACAGTTATGAGTCAACAAGTTTTCCAAATTGGTACTCTCACGATTTTCAGTTTGTGACTACCGTCGTTTTTCCCCATGTAGTCTTCTTGTCATCACAGGGTCACTGTGGGTGGGTGGAAGGTGCCACTGGTAGCCAATACTTTGTTTCTTTCCCACTGTTTTGCTTTTTCCTTGCTCTAAATAGCTATCATAACTCATCGTGTGGGTGTGCTGTGTGATTCTCTTTACTCAAACTCCAGCTCCCAAGGTCTCTGCAGTGGGTGGTTGGCGGGTGCTCTGGTGTGGTTTGCTTCTTCTTTCCTATGAAACATCTATCGTCCTTATCTCCCCTTCTTCTTTTTTATGTTTGTTACTCTCTTGTAACACCTCTAATCCTCTGGCACTCATATGACCTAATGCAGTTGCGAGCGCCGTAAAACCTCTACTAAACTAAAAAAAAGGTCTCTGCAGAAGGTCTGGGCCGATACAAGGGGCAGTTCCTGCTCCTGTGTCTTTTCTTTTCTTTTCCCCTGCTACTTTTCTGTATCTGTAACTTTTTCCTTTCTGTAGATGTTGTTGATGTGTGGGTGTGCTTCTTGTCACTCGTGGGTGGTTGGTGGGTGGTTTGATGTCATTTGCTTCTTCTTTTCTACCGAACATCTATCGTCCTTATCGCTCCTCCTTCTTTTATTTATATGTTACAGTCTATGAATGCCTGTAATCTTCATCACCTATGTGACGTAATTGTGTTGCTAGTGCCATAAAACTCGTACTAAAAATTTTTCAAAAAATAAAAAACCATGAAACCCGAATTCCTTCTTTTCCCCTGTTACTTTTGTGAATCTGTTACTTTTTGAATATTTCCTTGCTGTCAGTGCCAGTTATTGTGTCGATTTGCTCCTCTTAAATCATTGTAGTTTTCTGTACTGTGTGTTCCCAGGTGAGAGAACTGATGCCCTCTGAACATGAGAGGGACACACTGTTTGAGGCTCTACGTCGCTACCAGTCGTGAGTAGGGCAGCTGTTGAACCCCCTGGTGTTACCTCTCTGTCTGTCTGTCTGTGTGTCTGTCTGTCTGTGTGTCTGTCTGTCTGTCTGTCTGTCTGTCTGTCTGTCTGTCTGTCTGTCTGTCTGTGAAACTCCCTGTGTTACGTCTCTGTCTGTCTGTCTGTCTGTCTGTCTGTGAACCCCTCTGTGTTACGTCTCTGTCTGTCTGTCTGTCTGTCTGTGAACCCATGTGTTACGTCTCTGTCTGTCTGTCTGATATAGAAAATATCTATCTGTTGGTGTCACCAAAACTTTAATAACATCACTTATATTGTCAAGGATTGATTATTGCAATTCCTTACTGGCTGGTGTACCTGATGAACAGTTACAACAACTACAAAGAGTACAAAATATTG